CGCTCCCTCGCGTTACGTCAACAATCGCTCGCTACTGTCCATCTGCTGAAGCCGTGGGGGCATCCGCATATGCGTAATAGGGATTTCAAACTCGTTTGCGCAGCCTAAAAATGACTGTGTGACGCCAACCCCCTTCGCATCCACGCGAGAGGGAGGACCCACCGCGCCATTCTTCCAAATCAAGTCAAATCCACCCACGCGGATTTCATCTCCCGTACGACGCTTCTCAATATCAATAACGTTGAACATGTCCTCCAGCATGTTGAATTTTAAGTGATAGTCTGCAGGCGTCTCGGCGGAGAGTGAAGGAGAAGCGTTTGTTTCAATAAGCCAAGGGTGCAAGTCATTATCCACCATGATATCGTACCCATAAAGCTCAAAGCAATGCTTATCTTGCACAATAACTTTTTGCACAGCATGCAAGGAGCGCAGAATCATGTTCTGTATATCGTCAAACACCTTCTGGGCCGCCTCTACACCGCGCGAAGCGGCAATATACTGGCGAAGGTTGCGAAGCCCATACTTGCACCCCGACAACGGGGTATACTTTGGATTGGTTTTCTGCACGGCAACGTTTGTGACGTGGATAAAGGTGTTGTCAATGTCCCTCAGCGAGAATCGTTGATGACAAAATCGTGCAAATCCAGTGCGATGCAGCCATATCGTAAGCGGAGAGTAGCTCGTCACAAGGACGTAGACGCGCAGGTCGTACTTTTTCCCGCCCACCAGGTGCGGATTGTCAATGTAGCGCTGCGCCAAATACGGCTCAACCGGTTCGGTTCCGTATGGCCCCCCCGGCTTCTCACCCACCGCCCCCACCTGCCGCTGCTTGTAGTCCCGCCGCCACTCCGCAATCTGCGAGATCCTTGAAAAGAGAAAGATGCCTTTGCCCTGCGCCTTTGCCGGTGGCTTCATGATCCAAATCGCGTTCGGCTGACGGCGAAACTCCATCTCGAAGAGGCCGTAGTCCTGCGGCAGCGAGAAGGTGACGGGGAAGAAGTCAAACTCCGTAGCCTCGTCCACGCGCCCCTCGCGCTCGAGGCTCTTCCGCATGCGCTTCAGGTTCTTCACCATGAAGTCCTTGCGCGTCAGCTCAAAGTGGTTGCGGAAGTGGTTGATCCGCTGCATGTCGTCCAGCCGCACGTGGTCGTACACGTCGCGAATCCACCCCACGTCCGCCCAAAACACGTCCCAGCCGAGGTCGCTGTCGGTCTCAAGCCACCCGCGACTGCGCATGACGTCAAGGACTGTGTTGCGCAAAAAGGTTCTAAAACGAACGGGGCCCACGCGACCGCGCCGCTCCCCTGAGGGCATTCTCGCAGCGTAGCCGCAGGGATGTAAGCGTGTGGGAAGCGGGCACTTGTCCCCTGCTGTTGTTGTCAATGAAAGCGGCGAAAAACCAAAATAATAATAATAATAGTAGTAGTAACAGTAACAGTAAAAGTAATAACAAGAAACCCAGACAAAATTGTACAAAACAACGTTTGCGAGCAAAACTAGGTCCAGCAAGAGGCCTGGAGAAAGCAGACGAAAAGAGGCCAATGCACCACAACAAAGCATCCGCACGGAGGAAGGGAAAGGAGAAAGAGGATGAGAAGAAGAAAGTAAGCAGCGTGACCGTTAAAAAAAAAAGGAAAACAAATACGGTGGAAAAAAGGGCCTAATACATAGTTTTTGTTGTTGCTGTTTTTTTCCTTTTTGCAGCCGCGCGGGCGCGCGCATAAAAGGTGACGGTCACGCGTTTCCCAAGCTGCCGCCCTTCGCTTATCGTCGCCCCAACCCCAAACCCCTTTGCTTCGTCTCTCTTGCCCTCCGCGACAACCGGGACTGTGGACGGAGACGCAGGACACCACAGGGAGCCTGATGCGGGCTATCAACAACAGGAGCCTCTTGACTCGCGCCACCCTGCGGGCTCGTGACGGGCACCCATCACCACGCAGTGAGGGTTTGAACACTCGCTCCCCTCCCGAACACCAAAGCATACGACGCCAGCGCATCTTTTATACTCGAGTGAAGCACTGTGAGTATATGGCGAAGACGAACACGGTGGTACGCAGAGCAGAAGTCCAGCAACTTGTTCATTCTCGTAGTGCACTCAGGTCCATGCCACCGAAAGCACGTCGACAGCAACCTGAAGCTTAGCTCCAATTCATGCTGCCCCATACTTTGAGTAACGACAATGTGAACCACCACTTCTTCAAAGATCTCTGCAACGACTTCGGCATCCAGAAACGGGCCGGTATCCGCGTCCAGCCTCCGCATAGACAGCAGAACCGCATCGATAGCCAATAGAATACCAAACACGAGGGAATATTTTAAACACTTCAGAAGGTACCTCAGCAACGGCTTCCACGCCATGTGGGCATCAAGGGCTTGCTCTATCTCGAAGCCAAAAGAACCATGTGCAGAAATGGAGCCCACTAGGACTTCAAACACCCGTTCGCGGGATGGCGTGCGCGCCATCACCAGTTCGGGAGGGGTAGAAAAAAGCAGCGTGAGAAAACTCATGTAGGCTGAGACAAATTCATCACCGTAAGACACTGCCACGCCCATGTTACACCAATTACCCTTCATCATACCGTAAATGGCATTGGCAACGTTGTACACAAACGTCTCACTAACCACATCTGGTGAAAGCTCTTGCACTGGCTCTTTAGCATCGAACTTGGACAAACCTAATCTATTCATAATCCCGGTTACGGAAAGGTAAACAAATCCAACCAAACCCCAATGCAACTCACACTTGTTGTCGTCCGGCAAGCAACTTGTTGCCAAGTCACAGAGCTTGGCAACCAGCCGCAGCAGTAGCGGAGCGTTATCAGGCAACACCTGCAGCAGGTCGCCCATCTCCTGACTTCGTTTGGTTAGGGCATCCAGTAACCAATACAGGACTTCTGGCTGATGAATGCCATCGGCAATGGCAATCAAGTCATGCAACATTGCATTAGGATCCGTATTTAAGCGCTCCACCTCCAGCGCCCGAGCTATGGAAAAAGGAATGAAGTCTACTGTTGGAAATCCCGCATAGTGGCGGCCCTCGTCATAGAAGATGAGGGCAGTAAGCATACCAGAGCGGGCCTTTCTATCCTCCGCAGTAAGTCTGTCGCTGGTGGTGCGAAGCAGCTCAATGTGTCCCCCTTTCACCGCCAAAAGCACAGCGCTCATTTTTTCCGAGGCCAAAAAGAAACCACGGACTCCCTGCATTAACACCTTTCCAAGGAGGAGATTTGCATCAATGGTGAGACACGCCTTGTCACTGTGGTGCACATAAACGTAATATAACAAGTTGGTCATAATTTCATAAAACTCACTGGACGCCTCAGACAAAGACTCGTAGGTGCATCCACAGAAAAAGAAAAGAGCGCGCAATATACCCATGTGAACCTTGCCCATCCCAGTCATTGAACGGCTTTCAGGACTATCACCCTCCAAATCTGTCAGAGAAAGACTTTCTAAGAGTGCACTGGTCAATTTATCATCCATGGAGAGTAATTCACGTGCAAATTGAGACACAATTTCAATTAATTCGTCACTGCTGCGGGCTGTATTGTTTAACACGGCAATTGCCACGACAGAAATGATGACTGAAAGCCGGGATAAGCAGACATGCATAAGAAACAGAGATGCATCTGCGGCAGTGAGGGCAGGGCATACAGATTGCACATCCACTGCGAGCGACAACAGGAGCTCGCCGATCCCCTCGGAGTCTCCAGTTTCCCGGATACGCACACAAACTCCATATTGCTCAATCGTGCTTCGCAATCTTTGCACAATAACCGAGTACACGTCAATTTCGCGACAGAAAAGCATCTCTGCAATAGGCAAAAGGGTTTTTTCGTTGTGTAACATGACACCCATGTCGGAGCGTATTTCGTAGGAATCTTCGGTAAGGTGAGCTTTGGCGACAACGTTGTCAAAGTAGCACTGTGATACCCGCGTAACACTGTTCACGAGCAGCCTTGCAACCTCATCTTTGTCACTGCACAAGGCCGCGTAAAGATCGGCACAGTCACCAAAAGTAAAGAATAAATGCATGAGTTCTTGGCGAAGTTCTTCTTCATCCTCCTCCCATCGGACAAGTACGCCACTTACCGCCTCAGCCCAGCGTTCAATTAGGAATGGATGGCTGTGTAAATACTTTGCCCCCTGGCTTTTTTCACGCTCAAACGCGTTCACAAGCAGAGCACAGCCCAATTGCAGGATGTGAGAGAGTCCAGTGGAGTTATAGAGGGAAAGTAAATTAGCGGATAGTTCAAGAAACGAATCGCCTAGTCCGAGGCTGATCGAAGCACCATCTTCGCTGCGGCAGTCGACAGCCGATGCCATTCGTAGCAACCGTGCACATTGGCCACTCGCCTCCAGCGTGGGATTCGCCAAAATGGCACGACTGCAATCCTGTACGGCGAGGGAGAGGGCAGGAAACCAACTCGTAGCCCTCCCCATAAAGATGGGCTCGTCCGTCTTGCCCTGCACCGTGATTAGAGATGCCGGGGTCAGCGTTGAGAGCACCTGCAGGATTGTGCAGCAGACCTCCAGCGCACGAGGTCCACAAGAGGAAATTTGCCCCACACTAAAGCTAAAAAAACTCGGAAGAATATCATTCACAAAGGCCAACCTCGCTTTCTCAACACAAGTAATAATTTCCTGTTTCGCAAAGTAGGTCAACACCTCTAGTAGGAAGTCTAACACATCGCTCGCGGGAAGCCGCGCGGAGAGTGCCTCCACAACACACAATCCGACTCCCCTCGGCTTCTCCTTCTCGTCGAAGACCGTCAGCCTCCAATTGATGTGGAGAGCAGAGGCGTAAATGGAATAAAGCTCATTTTTAACGTATACTGGAAGCTCCTCGCCGCGATCCTGCGCCGCCTTCAAGTAGTCCATAACGTAGACCTGTATATCCTTCCGCTCCTGTGGTCCCAACTCGTTACTTACGATGAAATGCATCGCCTTGCAGAGAATGAAGCGCAGGTAGTTGTTCTGGCACTGTGGCAACAACCCCTTCACCCTCTCCCAATAATCAAAGGAATTCAGGAAACGCAGTCTGCCCGCCGCCCTCTCGCGCACCTCCTTGTCTGGGGAGGTCAATACCTCCGTTGCAAGCTCTGTCATCACCTCGATGCTCATATCCAGCATTGCTTCTCCGCTCTTTTGTGTTTTTGTTGTGCTCTCGCTCTTTCTTTCTTTCTTTCTTTTGCGCGCGCTGTCTCGCTCCCAAACCCCTTTATTTATTCCTTCGGTATCACCACCAACTGCCCCTCACACGCGTGCAGATTAAAAAGGCGAAGGACAAACAACAACAATAGAGAGAGAGAGATAGAGATAGAGAGAGAACATGTATGCGTGCATGTGTTTCGGAGACAGAGCAGGAAGTGCACGACATAGCGCCACCGCGTTTGAGCAAACTCACTGGCACTGCGCTGAACTCCAGACTCGGCGTCGTTGTTCGCTTCATGTGTAGAGGAAAAGCCACACGCAGGCACACAAACTCAGAGAAGCGCAGACAGCAAGGCATGTGGTAGTCGGCAAAACACAAGCAATGACATCAATAACCGTTGCCCACACGCGTAGCTGAGGCACTAGAGTGTCGGGAGAAACAACCGTTCGATGTCGTTAAAGGCCGCACGCCAAAGCGACTTCTATGCCCCGTTGGCAACGCCCCAGCACCCCTAGCAAAACGTCTCCCATCGACACGACTGGTAGTGCCATAGTCATCTTCGTTGCTGTCATGCCAATCACAAGGGGGAGGCACCGCAAAACGCGCAGGCGCAGCCCGCAGGTACTTGCTTCGCTCGATAGACGCAGAGGTGGTCCCCGCACTTGACGCAGCTACTGGCTTCAGCACAGGGGTGAAGGAGAGAACCGAAACCGGCAAACCTCTATAATGCTTCGTCGGTGCAGATAAGACGAGGCTATTACGCTGGCGCCGCCACAGCTGTGCCGCGAGCATCCACAGTGCCCGCCCATAGGATAAGGGTGGGGTCCCTCGCCATTGCGTTGTCGTTGCAGCGACTGCCACGAGAAACGCAACCCAGTCCCACCGGCAGCGAAATCGCAGCAACAGCAAAGTTGCACCACTGAGATCACTTTGACTTCGTCGATGCGGCAGTGGGGAACCCGCGGCTTCGTTCTTGTGATGTGGTGGGCCGGGCGATACGAGAGCAAGACAGTACGGGGATGTCTTACCAAGCTCAAAGAGCGTGCACGCGTGCTCGATCAGCAACTGACGGGCGCGGGTTCCACAAATAATACTGCTGACACTCCCAGTGGCGCCAACACCAATAACGCCGTGCGGATACAATAAAAAACCATCTACAAGTGACACGTGGTATATTTCCCGTACCCGGCGTGTCGAGCTTACGTCGAGTTTGCTTTTTCCTCTCTGTTGCTGTTCTTGTTGTTGGTGAGCTGCCCCCTCCTTCCTCGGAGACGGCAGCTCACGCCGCATGCCTCGCGACAGCGCAGACGACGACGATGGCAATGCCTGAGACAAAGATGTGGGAGGCGTTCTAGAACGGCAGGCTAAAGCCCTTTCAAGTCGCTCCACCAAAAGAAGCACCTCGCGTCCGTCTTTCGAAAGGCGCACAAGGGTGGGTATGACCGTTTCCCCGCTTGGGAGGACATCTGCGAGAAGACCTCGCCTCCGCAGTCCAGACAAAAACTGCGATGGCAAAAGAGACCTTGCCGGTGGGTTTGAAACTGCGTGCCCTAACGCTGATGAAGTAACACTGGGGGAGAAAAGAAAACGCTCCTGCGGCGGCCCAGTGGGAGAGGCAGCAGTAAGTGGCACTTCCTTCACATCATTGGCAGCGGCCGCAACGGACAACGTCGCTGGAGGTGGGAACGGCAGCGAGGGAGACGGTGTGCGGCTCCCTGACGTCCCTTTCCCTGCAGCGAAGGAGCCTGCAGGACTGCCACTTCCACCAGACACAGCAGCGGTGTGGGGAGACCTGCGCGGAGACGGAGGGGAGGTTTCTTCAGGCCCCAGAGGCGATGGTGAATAATCCGCCTGCGGAGGCGTTGCGGAGGATAAGACTCCATCCAGGGGTGGAGAACGTGTCGGTTTGAGGGAAGCGCCTCGGCGTTGCGGCGAGGAACCTCCACATGAAGCCGAGCGGGCAACAACCGAAGTGGATAGGGAAGGGGAGTGACACACGGGCGAAGGGGACGCGGCTCCAATGCCTGTGTGGGCGCGCAGTGCCGCAAGCGCCTCTTCGTGCGCCCCAATCGCTCGAACTTCCGCCTCCGTGGGGATGCAACGCTCCTGCGACGCCGCCAGACTGCGCTCCATTTCGTTTTGAATCTGAAGCAACTTGGCGACGCGCTCTGACTCCGCTCGCTCAATCTGAGCTTGCGCCTCGGCAAGTGCCTTTTGACGCGCTGCCATCGCCGAGCGGCGCACCGTGCGCAACTCCTCCAAGCGGCTTTCCTCCTCTGCACAACGCTCAGCGAAACGTTTACGGAACTCCTCCTCCAACACCGCCACCTGCGTCTGCGCCTCTCGAGGCGACGAACCCCCCCGGCCCCCTTCCCACGCGTCACAGCTTTGCTTTACCCCAATGTCTGCTGCGACTGGCGAGTCTGGCGCCGTCGGCAGCAGCAGCTGCAGCGGGGCCGGCGGTTGCCGTTGCGGGTCCAACTCACTGGAATGCAGCGGGGCGAGCAACGGGCCTGAGGCATCTGATCCATCGGGGGTTGTCTCCGACCGCCTCCCCCGTCGTTCACGTGCACGCTTCAAACTTTCTAAACGCCGCTGCGCACTTTCACGCTCCTCTTGCAGTTCGCGCCGTCGCCGCTCCGACGGAACCTCGGCCTCCGAGGACACATGGGGGGCGAGCCTGGCGCTGTCACTCCGCTCAGGCACGTCAGTGACAGAACTGCGGAGGGGGCCCGCGCCCGTGCGGCGGCCATGCAGCGAGAGCGCCTCATCGATGACACGCACAACGTTGCGCAGGCGGCGCCGAAGTTCGTCCCGGGCCGCCTCCGACTCCGCCCGCATCTGCCACCCCTCCCGCACCGTTGCGGCCTGGTCTGCCCAACGGCGAGGAAGGAAGCAAGGCGGAGGTGCAAAAGGAGAAAAAAAAAAAACAATAGAGATTCACTACAAAGGCATGCAAATGACTTCCCCCCCCCCACCACTCAATCTCTCATTTTTTTTGTCGACGAAAAAAAATTCGCAAAACAGGCCCAGCAATAAAAAACTAACAACATGAAAAAAAAACAAGTGGATCAGTGGTCCGAAATTAACCGGTCGAGCCCCGCGAATTTCCAGCGCAGCGGCACGTGCATAATTGAAGCTAAAAGCTGCAGAAAACAATGATGCGTCTTCAATAAATGCCCGCGTGCTGATTGAAGCAAAAGCGGCGGTCCAGTTTTGACCGCCGCAGATATTCCCACAGCCGCCAGTGCTTTCTGTGGTTATTGAGTCCACCCGCCTAGTCTCCTCGCAATTGCCCTGCGCCGCGGTTGCGGCCATCACTCAATGTCCTTTTTCTCAGCTCGCGCCTTCGCAGTTTCCTTTCGATCCTTGCAGCTTAGTTGCTTTTTCCCATTCCTTTTGCCTCTTCATTCGGTGGGCACCCGCTCTTCATGACGGTGATAGATGACGGTTGCGACAGTGATAAGGCAGCAGCCCCAAACGAACATATTGGACGGCACCAGCCCCCAGATGACAAACGACATGACGCCGCTCACCGCCACCGCTACCCCCGTTGCAAAGCCCTTGACGATGTTGTCCGCGTACTTCACCACGATGGCCACCAGCAGCCCACCAAACGCGTGAATAAAGACAAGGCCGATGGTGAGCCACTGATTGTAGCCGCGCCAGAAATAAAACTCTTGTCCCTTTTTCGTTTTCCACGAAGGAAGGATATCCAGAACAAACATGGAGAGCACCGCGAAAGGAATCCCAAATACTGAGAGGTGTATATTCCGCACTGCTAGTGAAGGCGGCGTGGTTTTGACGACCTTCTCAAAGTATACACCGGCGTAGCTGGAGGACAGACCGGATAGCACGCAGGAGGCAACCCCAAGCAGGGGGCGCTGCGTCCGCCCCTCCGTGGGCAACCGCTTCTCCGCGGAAGTTTCCTGTAGCTGGGTGAGGAGAACACCAAAGGTGAGCAGAAACAACGACACCCACTGCATTACTCTGAGGCGACGCTTCAGAAGTATTACAGAGAAGACGGCTGCCGACACCAACTTGGTCTGCGACCAGACCTGAAAAGAGACTGCATCGAGGTTCGAGAGGCCGAAAAAAATGAGATAGTTCTGCATCGTAAAGAGAGCCGCAGGCACCGACAGCTTAAGGGTTTCCCCCTGGAAAATCGCACGCCGCAGCAGGGTTAGTACGCCAGGAGTAACAGTCGAAGCTCCCCGGGCATCAAGAAGGGGAACCCTATTACAAAAATGGTTCTCCACTACAAAGATTACAAGGCAAAAAAACATCTTTAGAATTTCCTGGTTCAGTACAAGTGTGGAGGCGTGGTAGCGTTTCTCGGGCGGCACACTAACACGGGAATAGCGCGTCATGACGACCAAGATGCTGTTCTGTAACACCAGCACCAGAAGGCTGAGGGCCGCCGGTGAGGCCCACCATACGGCTGACATTGTCCTGGCAAAAACGCACACAGACGCACCTCCGTTGCACGGTGCGGTTAGGCGAGGCGGCGATCGTTTCGGCCCCGCGGGAGAGAGGGAGATCCAAAAGTAAGTCAAAATAAGAAACACACGGTCAACCACGCGGAAATACGTGAACTACGCCCCGAAGCCGCGGGGATCTAGAGAGAGCAGAGGCGGTAATCTAAGCCTGCCAAACAGCCCTTGCGCGCCCACCACTGTGGGTATGCTTAAGTCACGCGCACCGCCTTCTTCTACTCCCCGCAATACGCACGCCAAGGTGAGGGTCAAAATAGCAACGCAACAACAAAAAAAACATTGTTTCACAGAAAATCAAGAGGCACAACAATGCAACAGGAGGTCTTAAAATACAGACGCCAATAGTTTAACGCTCACACAAAAAAAAAAGAACCACGACCCTCCCTTTCCCTACCTCACCCATAGACACACAAGGAAAGTGAAGTACACATACGCACTCGGCAGTACTACCTAAACTCTGCACCTTCCTCGTTGTATACTCTACAATAGTCAAACACAAGCAAGGAAGTTGTGACGCTCGCTATTGCCAATGATTCATCACGTACTGGACCTACATCCACTATGTTTTTATCGCGGGTGGTGCTGGCTTCGCCCCCCATATCATGTGCTCCTTCTCATATCCGTTACGATTGTCATTGTGAAGCTTGCGATGGTTATGAATTCGTGTGTACATCCATTCCGAAAGTTCCACTACGTCTGTCTTGGCCTCCCACCCAGGACGAAACCTCGCCGGGTGTTGGTGCTCAGCGTAATCCCTCGTTTTCATCCGAGCTTCACTGCGCCGTTGTGCCGCAATATTTGCCATGGCAATACTATTCTCAGCCGATTTTACTTTGCGGCCGAGAGCGCCATTTACACCTGCTAAAGTTGACGCCACGGTGTTCCGCGACGGCCGACGCACAGTGGCCTCCTGCGGGGAGGATGTTGCGTCTACCTGCGCCAATGCCACCGCGTGCACCTCCGGCTGCGTGGCCTGCCACTTGTAGTGGCCCGGTGGCCGCGTGACCTCGACATAACACTTCCCGCGGCCTGGCGGGGGCGGCACATGGCGCTCCGTGACCCACGCCGGCACCAGGTGGGCGGCCGGCTTCGAGGTCGGAAACAACTCCCCACCACCGGAACTAAATCGGCGCAGCGTCCTCCGCAGCATCTGCACGTGCCGGGAATTAGAAGATATTGCCCTGAAAACCCCTATATAAATATATGTGGAGGGGAAAGAAAGTAAAGAAGAGACGACTTACCCGCTGTGAACCTCCTTCGCGGCAATCTGATGGGGAAAAGGGGAGGGGCAAAACACACTGAGCAAAGAAAGAAATACACACACACAAATACGTCACGCAGGAATAAAAAAGTCAAGCGAAGAACCACAGCACCTAAAACACGACGCGAGGGTCAAAGGAGCAGGCCCACCGCAAATTGTTGTCGCTGCGGGAGGGGAAGAAACCCGTACCACCTCAGCCCTTCCGCATTGCGTGGTTTCCTGTCTCCACTGCCGCGCCGAGGGACTCAACATCTATGTCGTCCTCTGGTTGATGAACCTTCAGGCGACGCCGCATGCCATACTTCCCCTTTTCATGGCTGTTGTGTGGCAGGGGCGCGGGAATGTGGGGGGTGCGGGCGTAGAATTCACGCTCTGCCGCCCTCTCCGCGGCGTAGCGCGCATCCATCTCCTCGCGATGCGAATGTAGCTTTTTCATGGGTTCAATGCCATCACGCAGCTTTGGCGGCGGCGGCCCACCCTGAACAAACCATCGACGAGCACAACAAAACTTGCCGGCGGCAACAATCGATACGGACCTCACGCCCCCGTGCAAAGTGCCCTGCATCGCACCCCAATTCCCGCGCAAGAGACGTGATGGGTGTCACCCGCGAAGGCCCACGGCACACCAAGCACCACCTAGTGAAAAATGGCAAAAGCGATGTGAGTCAAGAAAATCTCAAAACACGTCTCCACACTAGCACGCAGAGAGGGAGATATATATATAACAGACAAAAATAAACAATCTCTGTGCAACACCCACCACCACCACACTCAAGGAAGAGGAGTAGGTAAATTGAAAAATGACACCGTCTAACACACGTACATCGAGTGCAACCCTAAAACGCAAAAAGCCACAAATTCCATAAAAACTCACGGTTCCCAGAAAAAGATACGAAAAAGCAAGGAAATGCAGGCGACAAAAAAGCGCTGCACAACAAAGCGCCATGGGGCCCCGTACAGTCCATCGCGCCCACACGAATCGGCCTCCTCCGCCTCCCCGCAGTGAAGCCAGTCCCCGAACTGGCAACAAGGAAAGGGGGAGGGAAGACCCTTCAGTAACTCCCCGCAGCACCAACAACCTCGCCGCCACCACCCCTACCCATCGCCAAACCTGCCGCTGCTCAGTACGCAGCCACAAAAGCTCCGCATCCGCCCAGACGCTCGCGCGACCGCGAAGCCGGGGGTGTCGCACAGAGACGATGAGAGCCCAGGCACATCTCTCACGGCGACACGTATCGCCGGAGAGCCCTTTCCTCACAGCGCTGCCGCTCCCTCCCGAAGACAAGTGCAGTCCACCCACGACGTGAAGCAACGGAAAGGTCCCTCCAAGTAGGAAAAGACGGAAAGGGGCGCCTTCCAGAGCGGGGTGCAGAGGCCACAGCCCACTACGCACGACGCCGCGCTGCGGCTGCATCCACGCAGCACCTCCAACAGCCCTCTCACAAGCAGTGGCGCAACTTGTGCCGCACCGCGGCACGTGCAGAGAACCACCGACGGCGGCGAGGGTGCAGTGTGGAACTCATGCGCAGCCTGGGGCCTCCTCCGTCGCCGGCGCGCCCGCGAGCGAACCAAAGCGGGTCCCCAGTACAACCGCGGGGCAAGCGCCTCCTCGGAGAAAGCCGCCCAACCAGTAGGGTGCCGCGCTTCTCCCTGATTCCTGCCGCAATGGCGGGCGTCGCCACGGGAGAGGAGGGGATCGCTCCGGACCCCCCACGCACACACACCCTCCAAGCCGCGGCGGGCGCGCAGGCGCCGCCGCCAGGACGAGGTCCGGGCGAGTATTCCCCCGCGCGCAGCACATGCAACCCCGCGCACACGAAGCGCCGCAACGTCCCCCCACTTTACCGCTCCGACAAGCCTCGGCACGGGACGCAGGGCCACGCACCCAAGAAGCTGAGCGCGGCGGGCCTGTCCCGGTTCCACGCAGGGGTGCCCGTTGGCACGGCCGCACGACCGGTGCGCAGCCCACCGTGTCATGCAATCAAAAACGTCAGAGCAGGTTCCTCCGTGCGCATCTGCTCAGGGAACCAAAACACGAACGCGTGCCTCCAGCGTTGCCGCCTCCGTCCACAGAAGCCCCGGGAAAAGAGAGAAAAAAGAGGGCACGAGCTCGAAAACAGCAGCAGCAGCAGCAGCCTTCTGCCAAACTCAACACAATCACCCATCACCCCCTCGTGTCACAGCAGACAAAAGAAGACCCACCGAGTCCGCGCCTCCCCGCACAGCGCACGAAAGAACGCCGCCGGCTGTTGTTCTCCCACACCACAGCAGCGCTTGCGCGCAGCGAGGCAAGAGCGGGAAGGGAACCGGCGCAAAAAAAAAAAAGTTGCATGGCGCTTCACGGCATCTGTAGCGCGGAGCCCACACGCCAACGTGTGAGAATAGTATGTGACGAGCCCCAATCATCAGACCTTGACATACATCCGTACAAGGAGAGAGCACAGTTACGGTTTATATGTACCCAATGATCTCATTAATACAAAAATTTACCTCCTATTTATGCACTAAAAAAAATTCGCAGTGGCGCCGTATAATCGTCAACCCCGCGGTGTGAGGTCACGCAGTGGCAGCCTTTGGGGGCTCCCCGCAACCGCCCCCCCCCCCCCACCTCAGCCGGGCTGGCAGGGCGGCAAGGCGGGGGAACAGAACCACAGAACTGCACTCGCTGCCCTCCGACGCGGTCTCTACAAGAAACAAAATAAAAAACAACAACAAATAGAGCGTTTTACAAGGGGGAATAAAAAAAAAAACTCTCTCCTCTACAATAAAAATCTAGAAGCAAATTATTTCCAAAGGCTCCTAGCAAGAAAAAAAAACAATGCCTTTCACACATGACGCCTTGGATGTCGCCCATCTTGTTAGAGGGGCCACCCAAAGAATCCATCCAACACAAATACCAACCAACTCGCGACAAACAAACCCTCCGGGAAGAACTTATAGTTTAAAACACCCCTTTTTAAAATACTTAACAAGCAGCTACAATTGCAACCACAAAGAATAAAGTAGTGGAAACAATGGGAAAAA